TTATCCTTTTTTTACTTTTTTTTTATGGATGGAATTTTTACAAATGTGTCTTACTTTTTAAATTGGACTGGTTTCCTTTTTCCTTCTTCTTCTATATTTCCTCTTTTTTCATATTGGTGGATTATGAATTTCCTTCTTTTCTTTTTTCAACGCTTGGCTGGATTATCCTTTTTTTAAAGAATTTTTTTCTTAAATTTGGAATCTTAAGAGAGGGGTAAAAGCAGAGGAAAAAGAAGCAATACCTGCCACCTAGAGGCTGGAGGCTTGGAAACATTTTTTTTTCTTACTCCCTTTGAACATCTGACTTATATCTTATACTTCAAGGCTCCTGATTTTGTACACTGAAAGGGATAGTGGGAAGAGTATGGCTTGTTTATGAGGGTGCTCTTCTGGAGTACTATTAATAGCTGGACTGGGGTGAAGATAAAGCCTTGACTTGAAAGATTATTGTGAACTTGTTTGAAACTTAACAAAAAACCCTTGGATGTTTTAGTAGCAATATTTATAACCTGGAAAAATGGTGCAACATGAAGAAGAAAAAGAACTTACATTACAAATGATTATGCTAGAAATTCAAAAAGTACAAATAAGTACAGAGAATATTCAAAAGAGAATGGAGAATATAGAACAAAAAACAGAAGAGGGGGAAGAGTTGAGAATATTTACAAAATGTTGATGAAATTTGAGGATAGAGTTCAAAAAAATTGAAGAAAAATATGAACAAAGTGATAAGAAAATTGTTGATATTGACAGCACATCGAGCGTGGTTGGAAATGAAATGAAAAGCTTTGTTATAAAAGATAAATAACTATATATAGAATAGAATATAAAGATGTAATACTATCGGATGTTTTCAGGATGATGTGATGAAATGCCATAATATAAATTTATTTTAAATTTAGAATACTTTACATAAAAAGGATGTAATAATCAGTTATAGTCAAATAAATGTTTAATAATCATAATAATTGTATACATATATATTAGATTGATGATATGAGACTTTATGCAAATTGCAAGTGAAGACTATTGTGAGGAAGCACAAACGTTTTGTAACCAATCGACACACTGTAAGTAATTGGAGAAGGGTTTTTATACTTTGTGTTTATGTTTGTTTGTTTTATGTTTGTTTAAAAATAAAAATAAAACTTTTTTTAAAAAAAGGAAGGAAGCAAGGAAGGAAGGACAATAGCAATAGCCTTTAGACTTATATACCATTTCATAGTGTTTTACAGCCTCTCTAAGCAGTTTACAGAGTCAGCCTCTTGCAACCAACAATCTGGGCCCTCAATTTATTGACCTCGGAAGGATGGAAAGTTGAGCCAACTTTGAGCCGGTCAGGAAAATAAATAAACCTCTTGAACACCTTGCATTTATTTTGTAGGAAGCTCTGAAATGAACTAAAAGGTGATTAGAAGAGGGCTAGGATTTTGCATGCCTGCAGTGGCTGGGTATTGTTATTTAAAAAAAAAAAAACGTTTCTCATGATTCTCATTATTTTATTGTTTTAATGTTAGGAAGCAGAAAGGCTGCTGATATTGCAAAGGACTCGGCACAGATGAAAAGGAGAAGGTGGGTCTTCCCAACCAACGTGGCTGTAATCCTGATCAATCCCAGCTAACCAAACCTCCCTCTTTTTAGCCAGTACAAAACCTGATTCCGAGCTGTCTGTAGGAGATTCGTGAAAACTGTCGCTGTAGCATGGTGGAAAGAAATGCACGAAAAACGGAAAACAACAAGGATTGCATTTTTAGGAAATCTGTGTATATCCAAACCAATCCCCCCTGCACTGTCAAAATCCCATTTTAAAAGGACAATAAAAATAAACTCCAAAGCCTTAAGACAGAGGTGTCCAACCTTGGCAACTTTTAAGACCTAGGGGCTTGGGAATTCTGGGAGTTGAAGTCCACAGGTCTTAAAGTGGACTTAAAGTTTAAATAGCCTGAGACATTTTCCCTCTTCTCAGTTTATTTCCAAGCGTAAAAGGCTGTTATTTTTTTTTAAGCCATAAACCAATCAATTATTCTTTCATAGCGCCTCTTTATGAGCAAAGTCAAACCCATTGACCAGCAAAGTCAACATCTAATGCCCAGATTTCCCATTTAAAAACTTTCTAGAAGTTACACAGATCAGAAGAGCTAATATTTCAAAATGCCAATTTCCTAAAATTAGCATCGAGGGCATTATAGGGGTACAAAATGTACCCTCAGAAATGTGTCCAATAAAATGGTAAGGTCAGTGGTGGGATTCAGCCAGTCCGCGCCTATCCAGGAGAACTGGTTGTTAACTTTCTAAGTAGTCCAGAGAACCGGTTGTTGGAAGAAATCTCCTTTTGTTCCCCCCTCCACCTCCCACTTTACAAGGCTAATCCTGCAAGGAAGGCAGGAAGGAAACATTCTGGTGGTGTTTCTAGCCTCATCTTTATTGCCCTGCTTACCGAAACTGCCTTTCTGGTTAACCCTTGTTCTATTGTAACTGCTAAGGCGAAGTGCCCATCGACCTGAGTGATGTTGAGTTGGCCACGTCCACCAAGTCACATGACCAATGAGCCATGCCTTCCCAGCTGGTCATTAGGGCAGAGAACCGGTTGTTAAATTATTTGAATCTCACCACTGGATAAGTTCTAGGAAACAGATTCACTGCAAGGTAAAATAAACCTGACATTACATTTGACTCAAAACGCCGAAAGAAGCAATGTCCAAGTAGGTTTTGTTAAAAAACAAGTAAGGCACCTATCACAGTTTATTTCATTCTCAGCATAAATAGCTACATATATATTTTAACAATAAGACAGCAAAATACAGTTACTTGTACATATATTTACAGGAATAATACCATCCCCCCCCCCCAAAAAAAAAGGTAAAGAGAGGTTAAGACACAACTTGTTTAGGTTGCCTCTGAATTGTTTTAAAAATTCTTAACAGCTAGACATTTCGGGTTCAGATCTAGAGGGAAATAATATGTAACCCACCCCCCATTAAAAGTCTGCGGGACTTCAGTGCAGCTAACCACCATTAAACTGAGATCTTTGCAAACCACATCAACTTTTGAGTTGATAATGGCCAATGTTCATCATAATCCCTCAGGGGGTTGGCAACTAGAAAGTACGGACTGAATGCACTTCAGACAAAGCTGTAATGCAATCCCAATTTTATTCCATTAGTAAGTATGGCTCCCTTCCTTTCATATTCCAGCTTGGGTGAATTAAAAAAATAAAATTCAACTTCGTTCTCCCTTATTTAGACTTCGGTGTGCCAAAACCTAAAAAATCATTTTCGGCAGCTGCCTTGCTAAGACGATGGAGAGCTGCAGAAACAAGTTTGCAAACTCACATCGCTTCACACAACACAGTTCTTTGACTGAAGGGGTTCAAAGAGGCAGCAAAAAAAAGGCTTAAAAATCAAGGGAAACCCACCCCACACTCATCTCCACAATGCCATGCTTTCTGAACGTTTAGAAAGAAAAACAATCTGAAATTAGAACAAAACAAAATAGCTTAATAAACTTCACAGTGAAGTACATCTTTTAAGACGAGGGAGGCTTCATTTCACGCATGACACTAAAGCTTAGTGTTAGCTTTGCACAGAGCTTAGAATTGGGATCCTGCACGCTTCCTTCGTCCTCTGAAGGCTTACAGGTTTCCAGTCAAGGTTAATTTCATTTTAGGAGGCAATTAAAGTGGCTTTTGGAGAAGTTCAGTGGACAAAGTGGTTTCAAACTCACTTTAGTCAATGTCAAGTCGTGTCAATTTCAAACCCTGGGCTAATTTGCTTCTCTGTTTAAGTGAGTTTGCGGTAAACTGGGATCGCTGGCTCAAATGTAATGCCAAACTACCTTCTGTGTAAAAAGAAACGTTTTTACTCAGCCAGAGGACAGTTGAGCATGAAGACTGAATTCTAGCCCTGATTTTGCTCCAGCTTCACTTGTGAACCAGGTCAGTCCGGGACCACGAGTAAATGAACATTATTTAGCAACAGTGCGGACATATCTCAAAAACAGTTTGCAGATTCGCCGCTTAAAAAACAGGAGGCACTTAAGATTCCCACCTAGTGGCCTTGAAGCGATCTAAACGTTAAAAACATGTTGTTTGTTATGCAGCAGTTTTAAGGTGATTTAAAAAACACACGAAAACCGGAAGGCAATTTTATGCTGCCAATCTCAAATCACCTTTGCTTTAAAAATAAAATGCAATTATTGTGAAACATACCTCTGAAACATAGCGTTTAGGACTACAAGCAATTGCATTTATGGCTGCTTTAGTTTCAAACAAGACAAATGTCAAGACCTCTGTTTTCTGGGTGATGAATCTACCCATTTCCAACTGGTAACACTGATGTCCTGGGAGCTTTGCAACTCATTTTATTTATTTATATATTTCCAGACAGGAAACCGTTTTAGTGTTGCATTTGTGCTGATAAATAAATAAAGGGAGACTCGTATAGATCTATTTCAATATATTTAGCTCTCATCAGCTAGCCATCCCCTTACTGGGATTTGAACCTGGGCTGTTTTTACATGTTAGGCAGTTGTATTAGCCACTAAGCCACAAACTCTCCTCCCTTATCAGCTGAGCCAAGGAAATAAGTAAGTGTTATGTCAAAGCCCCTGGTATGGCCAAATATGGGAGGGAGCATACTGCTTCCCTTTTGCCTTTCANACTCAACTGCAGGAGAGAGAGAGGAGAGAGAGAGAGAACGATGGAACAACAGATAGAACGATAAAATGATATAGTTAGATAGAATGATAGAACAGAAAGAACGATAGAGATGATTGATATAGAGATTAGATATAGATAGAGTAGAATGACAGAATGATAGATTAGAGACAAAGAGAGAGAAATAGATGATAGAGCGAGAGAGGGAGGGACAGAGGAGAGAGAGAGAGAGAATGATGGAACAACAGATAGAACGATAGTATGATAGAGATAGAATGATAGAACAGATAGAACGATAGATGATAGGTAAGATAGAGAGGTAGATAGATAGATGAGAGACAGAGAGAAAGGATAAGTACAATAGGATAAGATATAGGTAGAATTGTTTTGCACCAATGTTTCACAAATGACACAAGTGTTATAAATGTGATGAGCACACTGTGTCCATGATTCAAGGTCTTTTTCTAAAATTACCTGCTATTATTGTTTTCCTACTGAATAGAGAACCGGGAAGGGTGCCAAGCCAGTATATCCTATTTTATATGTGATCTCCGTAGCTACTAAGTTGGTGCGATTTGCTTAGAATTGGGATTCTACCATCTTATTACGCCATTTCCTGCATGGCAAGGCCAGTCGTTTTATAACAACAAGTTATTATTCCAGCACGGTTCTACCTAACAAAGCACCATCCACGTTATACTTGAGGATGCAAAGACTCACCTGAACCTCCACGAGCATCGCCATGTCCATGAACATTTCGTGCAATTCCTGTATGCTCGATTCCAGTTTTATAATGTCTTTATGACGCGACTCAATTTCATCGAGGGCTGCTCTGGTCAGCTTGGTGTCCAAAATGATCTTTTGAGATGTCGGAGGAAGGGACAGACACGAAATAAGTACACTTATAAATTTCCTTTTGATAGAAGAGAACTTGTAGACATTTGGGTTTTAATGTGATTTGCTTATATTTTCCACAAAAGTCTTTTAGGACCCAAAAGATCAAATCTGCATTGAAGTCACTATGATATGAGCCGTGGGCTAATTTATAAAGCAAACTAAACTAAACTAAACTTTTAAGTCAACAAATGCAGATTTTTTTAAAATTATTTTTTATTTTGCAATTTCCTTTGTTATATATAAAATTTCCATATCACAATGGCAGTATACTCTCTGGGTACAATCGCTTTTAAATACAGAAAATAAACTTTATAACACAATAATTGTAACCGTTATTCTCAAAGTCTATTCACCATGATCTTCACTTATCCTTGTAAACATTTTACATTATTTAATTAAACACTCTGTTGTTGTAATAATAATAGTTATGTTATTATTAACTATAATTAGTTACTAATATCAAACTTTATAAATGTCACATTTGTAACCATTACTCCTCTATTAATCATGTTTACTTATCACAATTATTTAATATTCATTATTTAATTACATGCTTACTTCATTTTTATTTACATATCCTCCTTGATTTTAAATTGCTAACTTCTGCTTCTGTTTTCTAACCATTGATAAACTAATTCCCAAGTTAAAAATATCCTGTTTCCTCCTTATCCTTAATTTTCAATGTTAATCTATCCAGTTCAGCACATTCTAATATTTTCTTTATTAAGTTTTCCTCTGTAGGTATATTTTCATTTTTCCAATTTTGTGCATACACAATTATCGCTGCTGTTATTATATTTTTCGGGTAGCTTACCAACAAGAACATCTATGGCTTTAGGTCTATTTGCTGTTTTATCATTCCTTCTAGCCACTGCTTTATTTTTAACCAATATTTTTTTTGCCATACCCAGCCCAACAAACGCAGATTTGAAATACGTACGTCCGAAGTGAAAATGGAAAGATTGCCGCTTTCCAACATTTCTTCCAGTTCTTCGTCTGTGGTGGTTTTTCCAGCTAGCGAAAAATGAGAAGAGAAAAACTGTTCTCGCAAGGTCCTCCCCCTTTTCCCTAGCATTATATTTTTGCTATAACGCATTGGCAAGATGGGGAGGGTTCTTCAGGGTAGGAGAAAATTAGCAAGGAAAGATCACTTACTTATCTCCAACTGACGGCGTATCTGGTCCTTTGTGCGTTCCCGGAAGACGGTTTGAGTTCCGTTATACATTGTCATAACATCCACAAACTTCCGGGTCAACACTGAATGCTAGAAAGGGCAACATGCCAAGGAGTTTTGCACAAGTTAGAGAGTTCTCTTTTGTAGCAAAGGCCTTTGCAGACATTACTGAAACTGATAAGTCAGTTTCAGTAACTGACTGATAAGTTGCAGAAGTTTATTGAAAGGAGAGATCGAATGGGTAGAAGGAATGGCCTTAAGGAACAGATGAAAGAGCCAAGACCAAGACACCAGTTGGATAAAAGAAACCTCAGTCTAGGGCAGAAATGTAATCTGAGAAAGTGTCTCATACATGACCAAAGCCCTCACCCCCCTCCCATTCATGAAGATAGAGAGGGAGGACATACAAACCTGCAAAATTCTGTTAATATAACCTTAAGTCAAGCCCTAAACCCAAGAATAGCACGTGGCAATTCTTCCAAGCTGATGTTTCTGAATCCATAGAAAGAATCTTGCCAAACTAAAGTACTCTAACTATCTACATCAAGTATATACTATTAGGGAGGGGTTGTCTTCACCCTTTTTCTCTAACGTATAATATCCAGGGTGAGTTGTCGTTTACCCTTCTTGGGAATGCAGATTACACGCGTGTTTATTGTCTGGTAAACTTGCAAGATTCGTTTTTCTCGCCGTGTACATGTATACATCTGAACTAGACTGTGTTATTTCTCTCTCATATGATATACCGTATTTTTTGGAGTATAAGACACTCCTTTTTCCTACAAAAAAGAGGGTGAAAATCTGGGTGTGTCTTATACACTGAATACAGCATTTTTGGCCTCCCGAAACCCTACCCCCTTTACAAAAAGGGTCTTTGCAGAGCCTTAAGGAGGCTTCCAGAGTGCTCATGGGGGCTGGGGAGGGTAAAAATGAGCAAACAACGGGCCACTTTTTCCTTGTTTTTGCCCCCCCCCCCAAGCAACATTCTATAAGCCTCCTTAAAGGCTATGCATGCCCTTTTTTTGACAAAAGACAGGCTGTTTTTTGCTCCCCCCCCCCGAGCCCCCAGGAGCACTCTACAGGATTCCTAAAGGCTATGCGTGCACTTTTTTTGAAAAAAAAATGGGGCTCTTTTCACGAAAAACAGGGCATTTTGGGAGGTCTGCAGAGTGCAAAAACTTTTTTTAAAAATTTGCCTCTTCAAAATCTTGGTGCATCTTATACTCGGGTGTTATACGCCAAAAAATTGGTATGTGGATACATATTTGGGTATGTGCATAATATTGTATTTATTTATATTGTCATCTTCATGTAGTGTATATTGGAGGTGGTGACCCTTTAAGAGCTGTAGACAATAAAATTTCATTTTAATGTATGCCGCTTAGTGTACATTCAAAGTGACAATAAAGTTATTCTAAGTCTATTCTAAATCTAAGTCTATTCTCTGTCTGTCTGCCTGCCTACTTACTACCTATATCTTTTATTCAATTCAGTTTATTACTGTCATAGACCAGAACAAATAAAAACACTCAATAAATATACAATTAAAAATTCTAGAATAGAATAATAAACAACAGGTAAAATTGATGTTAAAATCTAGCCTGTCAATTATACATGGTCTAACTAAAAGTACAACCCCTAAACTATGTGGCCTGTAGTCAGTTTATTAGTAAAAGGGAAAAGAATAAGCAGTGCAAAGGATTACCTATCTCATTTATACATGTGCCGCTTTAGTTTTTAGTCTTCCCCATAACAATGGGTCACACTAAGAATGATAGACTATATCCAACAGGGCTGCTTGTTTAGACAATTCAGCAAAGACTATTGTCTGCTTTTTAACAAGAGCCTTGACACTCTTTTCAATGCCACACTGGACACCGCGGAAGAGGAGGAAGCAAAAACGTCTCACCACGCCCTTCCTCCTGGGGAGATAAGCAAACTCAAGATGCAGTATGCAACTCTCTTCTGCCTCCTTCTCTTTGAAACTGGGCCAAACAAAAGGCACGTCATGAGTTTCCTTTCTTCTCTCAAGGAATTTCTAAACAATGCCCCTCCCCCCCAGCAAGGGGTCTCTCCTCTTTTGACAGTGGTTTGCCAAGACTGACTTTCCTTTGCTACGTGTACCTGTGATTTTCGTATCCGGACATCTGCGGAAGTTCGGTTAATGTTCTCCTCTCGGGCTAAATTTTGTTCCATGGCTGTGAAACAGACAAAACCGTCTCAGAGATGAAAGTCATTACCCCTCATCCATCCNTCAAAGCAAGAAGGAACAGGGTAGCCAACTGATCTAAAGAGTGCTCTCTGCCCCAAAAGATCTGCTGAAATCAAGCACGCCTACATCAGGAGGGGATTACAGACAGTTGATCTTAATCCTCAATCTCCCTTCATCCCGTCCTCTTCAATAAACTGATGAAAAAACTCTCTGTAAAAGCTCAAACGTCCATCTTCCAAGCCTCCAAAAAAAAAAAAAGAAAGAAAGAAAGAAAGGAAAGCAGAACAAAACCAAATGGGTTTTAGCACACAAGACATGCAAAACAAAATACTTAAGAGGCCATTAGCCACTGGAGGTCTACGCCTCTGTGCAAAATCTGCCTTTTTCTTTGCTGTCAGACAGGCTGGGAAGAAGGCAAGCATACAGACCACATCGCAGGGAGAAGACACAGATTACAGTTTTAGAAAAAGGTTAACAGGCGAGGCCAGCTGGTCAATTAGTACTTACTGAGAGGTAGCAGGGAGAGTTGCTCACGGACAGTTATCTAAGCATCATGGCACCCCAACGGCCAAGCCAATTATTAGAGCCAGGAGAGCCAACAGCACCAGCACAATAATGACAATAATCCATTTTTTCTGCCAAAGGAAAACAAGACGGATTGTTTTCCGTTAAGGTTTTCTTTTCCTTTCTTTCTTTCTTTCTTTCTTTTTTTTTTTTTGAGTTTTCGAAATGGAAACGGGAGTCAATTCTCAACAGGCAGGAGGGAGGATCTCGGATACAGCGGCTGGGCCTCAAAATTAGTAGGCATCCCTCGACTTACAACTGTGCGTTTAGTGATGGCTGAAAGTTACAACAGCACTGGGGAGTGGGGGGGGTGGGGGAAAGACTTACAACCGGTCTTTGCGGTTAGGATGGTTGATGCATCCCCCCCATTCACCTGATCAAAATTGGGCCACTTGGCAACCGGCGTGTATTTACGATCGTGGTATCGTCCTGGTGTCAACCCTGAAGCTGACCTGACCGAAGCCATTTCGGAGCTTCAGCGTTGCCACACTGGAGTGGAGAGATAGGGAGGGAGGGGGGAAGGGGGAAATAGAGATAGCTGGGATTTTGTAGTCAAAACAAAATACTTTCTCTTGAGAATCAAGGACATTCTCACACCTGGTCGGAGGAAGGAGTGATGTCACCATACAGCCAGACGGCAATTTGATTGGACCATGTGACTGATGGTTTGGGGAAGGGGAAAAACTGTTACTTTCAATTAGGTGAAAACCGTGGGAACCTTCAGAGTCGGTTTTCACCAGAAATGTGCCAATATGATATATCCAAATAAAAGTCTTCTTTGAGGAATCTACCTGCCTTGGGAGTTTTGTTCACTATAGGCGTATTACTTGGGAACCCTGACACCCGGGAGGTCATGTGATCACTATTTGCGACTTTCCTGGCTGGCGTCCGACAAGCGAAGCCAGTGAGGAGGGCGGGGGGAGGAGGTGGATTCGCTTAACGATTGAATGGTTCGCTTAACAGCTGTAGGGATTCTCTTAGTCATGGTGGCCAAAAGGTCATAAAGTCAGGAACGACTCAAACCGCCACACTTAGAGACAGAAATTCAGCTCCCCGTTGAGGTTGTAAGTCGAGGAGTCTCTGTAAATGCTGGAAGGATTGTGGCACGGGAAGGACTGCGGTGGGTAAGCAAGACAATAGACAATATATTAAAAGAAAACATTTGAGAAACAACTGGCCAGGGCTTCTCCATGGTAAAAACTTACTCTACGAGCTTTACTTTGGTATTTGACGGCCTTCTTGGTCTCTTCCTTGGCGTGTTCTACGTAATCCACGGCGTTCATCACGTTCTTCTCGATGCTGTTGACCATTTCGCCCTTCGGGGTGAAAGCCAGAAACACACAGAACAAACAATCAAAGAGCAGAAATGGGCCATGAATGTCACCTTCTGGAATCCTTTTGACAACCCCAGAATGGAGAGGACACCCCGTTGGAATCAAGGATGGGATTATTACATGAAGGATGACCGACGGTTATGAGGGCATTCGCAGAAAACTGAGATGCAAATGTTAGGCTGGCTTTATTCATTCATTCAAACGTTAGAAGCTTTCCTGCTTGTTGAAATCACATCAACAAGCAGGAGGGAGGAAAAATAAAAGAGAGGAAAAACAGAAAGCTGGATTGCAAAGATGAACGTTACCGTATTTTTCGGAGTATAAGACACACCTTAGTTTTTTGGAAAGAAAATAAGGGGGAAAAATTCTGCCTCTGCCAACCAGCATCCATGGTATTCATCTGGCTACCGTCCTTAGCAAACAGCCTGGTCAGCTTCAGCACATTAGTTCGCCAGTTGTGAGCATGCGCGTGAGCTCGCTTCACACGCATGTCCCTCTTTGGGGCTGAAATGCAGCTTCTAAAACACAGCTGATCATCGCAGGGAGCTCCTGTGAGGAAAGCAGGCAAAGCACGGAAGCGGCCAGACAAGGCAGCAGTTGTTCCGGGTTGCCATTTTGACCTCTGGCCCTCATATTTTCAGTCTCCAAACCCTCCGTTTGAGACCCATTCAAGGTTGAGGGGATCACCAAAGCACATTGGTGCCGATTGGTGCCCAAAAGCGCAATGCACAGAGACCAAAATAGGGGGCGCGGAGACCTAAAGCGCGATGCACGGAGGCAACGACCAGTGTCAGTGTGCTCTGGCGATCTCCGCAACCTTCAACAGGTCTCAAGCGGAAGCATTTAGAGCAGGGGTGGGTTCCTGCCAGTTCTAACCTCTTCTATAGAAGAGGTTCCACAAATCTGCAGTGCCGTTTAGAAACAGTTCCAGTTCCCTACCCCCACCCATCCGCACATCATCAAGATGAAGAGCGAGAGGAATTCTGGGAGTTGAAGTCCACAAGTCTTAAAACTGTCAGGTTTGAACACCCCTGGGTTTTTTTTCCCTAAAGCGTTAGGGGTGCAAGGATCTTGTAACTTGACAGCTTTAAGATTTGCGTGGTTCAAATGCCAGAGTTTCTGAGCCAACATGACTGGAGGAGGAATTCTGGGAGTTGAAGTNATATTATAACCTATTAAATGAAATAATAAATGTATAAGAATGACAAAAGTAAAGAATCACAATTATGTGAATGTACACTTACAATGGTATGTAAGAGAATAAAAAATATAAAAAAATTGGTGAAAATAAGTTACAACAGTACTGAAAAAACAACTTAGGACTATTTTTCACACTTAACAACCACTGCAGCATCCCCACAGTCGGGTGATCAAAATTCGGACACTTGGCAACTGGTTCATATTTATGACGGTTGCAGTGATCCCCTTTTGCGACCTTCTGACAAGCAAAGTTAAAATGGGAAGCCAGGTTCACTTTGCAACCGTGTCACTCGCTTAACATCTGCAGTCGTTCGCTTAATAACCGGGGCGAGAAACATTGTCAAATGGGGATGGACGGACTGGGACTCACTGGATAACCGTCTCGCTTAGCAACAAAAAGGTGGGGCTCAATTGTGGCCGTAAGTCGAGGACTCCCTGCATTAAGGAAGCTGCTTCCGGCAACTTTGTAGATTTTTACCTGTAGGAAAAAGTCTTCCATGTAATGGTCGCTTTCAACGACAACTGTTGCTTCTCCATCTTCGTTTTGAGTGCGCTAAAAGAAGCAGAAATATTTCTCCGTGTGAGTAATCCCATTTTCAAAAGCTACAAGTACAAGATTAGGTAAAACCGGGCTCAAAAACTGGACTGCCGTCTATCTGAAATGGTCTCCTGCTTGATCAGGGGGTCGGACTAGAAGACCTTCAAGGTCCCTTCCAGCTCTATTCTGATTAATGATTCATGGCGATGGCTTGTAACACAAGTTAGACTAGTAAAGATCGGAAGCTCCGGTCAACCCAACCTTTTTCTCCTTTCCACTGACTGCTTGTTTCCCTAATAAAATTATAATTGATGCCTTTTCCTGCTGTTAAAAGATGGGTGACAAAAAATGCCATTCATGAATCGGCTGTGCCTTCTGCGTCTTCTCATTCTTTTATGACTCATTCATAAGACAAAGGAGAAGCTTTTCAAGCCAGAAACAGGCACACAACGGAAATATTTGTACACCAAAAACTTTCCTATGTGATCCTTGGAGAATAAATTAAGCCTTTTCCCCCACCAATTAAAGAAATCTTTCCTAGCTATTTCGCTAAAAGTTCAACCTGACTTATGCCTGCACTGGGAGACAAAACTCACTAAAATCGGTGGGATGCTTTCACAATTACACACCTTCTTCAGAATTTCACTTTCAGCTGGTCATGATTGCTTTAGGAGAACATCAATTAGAAGAAAAAGCTGATCTAAATTCCAACAAGACCTCCCATCTTTCCCAATGACCCGAGAAAGTGAATCTGCTATGGAGATTCTCAGTCATCCAGATCATGGTTGTCCCAAATTTACTTTGTCAAAAGGCAAGTGGATTTTGTTTTTCCTTGAAGACGTTTCGCTTCTCATCCAAGAAGCTTCTTCAGTTCTTCTTCACTTTCAATCAGAACTGGAGAAGCTTCTTGGATGAGAAGCAAATCGTCTTCCAAGGAAAAACACAGAAAGGTTTTTCGTATTTTTCTTACATATTGGTCTTCTAAAAGCAAGTGCGAGCAGCTCGCGGTGAAATTCTGAACGTTGAATGCAGCTCAAGGTGTGTTCATTGTTGAAAGCATTGTGGAATCAAATATAACAACCCATTTTCCTGCGTTGAAAGTTGCTGAGGTTAAGCAAAAAGGCTCTTTAGTTCTAAACACCTTCCTTTTCCTTTTAAAGCTTCTTTGTTGCCTCAGGAAGAGATAAGAATGAGAGGAAGGAAAAACATATCACAAGCGCACAGACACACACAAATATCCAGTTGTGACGATACCAAAAAAAAAAAAAAGTAGCCAGAGGAATACTGATGGTATTGTTCTTGCAAATTACCTTGGACAGCACAAAAGGAAAGCAATGTAAACATTCCA